GTCTCCAAGACAAGTTATTCAAAAATAGTCCTCTGATGAAAATCTATGTAATACTACGTCCCCAAGACAAGTTATTCAAAAATAGTCCTCTGATGCAAATCTATGCAACACTACGTCTCCAAGAAAAGTTAATCAAAAATAGTCCTCTGACATACATGTAAGGGGTGAATCCTATATTTGAATTAATATTTTAGATCAGAATTCTGTTTGGAACTATACCTTTTGAAATTAAAGCGGGGTCCATGTGGAAATATGAATATGTTAATTAAGGGTGTGTACTAACATATTATTTGCCAATCGGAACAGTGATATGGAGAAATATACCGATAAATTAGAGAATTTGTCCTATTTTTGTAATAGGTGGGTGTATAATTAGTGTAGTAGAAGATTTATGTAAGAATTCAAACAAGTGCTTGCTATGATAAAGTGTAGTGCACATTTGTAGTCTATGTTATCAAATTTTATATAAAAGGTGGACAAAATGTTAATTCAAGTAAAACAAATCTAATGTATAATTGATAATGTCATCCAATTTATTACCTTTTTTATGAATACTGTGGCTGAATTTTAATTTCTTTGTGAACTCTTAAACTATGTATACCTGTGGAATCATTATGATTGAATGTATTTTCTTATCAAAATACAAAATAAACCATTTTGTAATTGGAAACCTTTATTGTACACATGGGAGCACTGTAAACACAATGTAGTATCGGTCAAGAAAATGACCTCTAAAGCAAACTGATCTTGAAACTGATGTTTTCAATGAAATATTTTTTTAGATCTACAGTCAAGTAAAATATGGCAATGGAGACATTCCTTTTCACGTAAATTATATAGATATTTTATTGACATTAATATAAAATCTATTTCATGTCAATCACCCTTTAGCATTTGTCTTATCCTGGTCCTCGGTATTCATTGGTTCTTTTGCCATTCTCCGGATTTTTCCAAATCCGGGTTATTTTGATGTTCGCTTAAATTATTCCTTTCTTTTAAATATGAAACCTTTCTGAGATCATCAAGCGTACTGGCTGATTCTAGCGTATCGGTAGATCCTCTAATGTTTCGACCTATACTATCCATAGGGAGTGAGTTTCCTGATGTTTCTCCACCACTGCTTTCAGATGGTTTCCATTTAAACGCGGCGAGTCTTTTAAAATGTTGTCTAAATCGATTGTCAAATACTGCATAAATAAATGGATTTGCTACATGATTTACTATGAAAAGTCTCTCAACAATTTTCAGGAAAGAAAACGTAGCAATATCAAGATGTTCTTCATGTAAATGTTTACCGACTGATTCAATAGACCAAACAGGTAGGTAGCTTATGGCAAACACAACTGATATGGTCAATGCTACTTTTGTGGCCTTACTTGATATAGCATTTTGTAATGAAGTGCTTTCTCTCATTTGTTTCCGACGCTGGCTGTATACTTTCCAGCCAATAAGTGAATATAAGATTATAAGAGCTAGTGTGTATGATGAAAACAAAGTGACGGCGCAATACGTATAAACAACGGAATATATCGAAGGATTTCGTAATGAAATTGCGCACGTGTGTCCGGTCAAGTTATGTCCGAGATTGATTGCTTCAAATTTAGGTATAAATATTTGCGGTGCTGCGCATCCAAATCCAATAACAAAACAAACTAACACCCAATATTTTATATTCTTGTTCGTAAACTGAGACTTTAGTGGTATACAAATCTTCCGGAATCTGCAGATAGACAAAAGCAGAATTAAATTGGATGAATACGCAAGGAAAGTCATAGTGACGACGATAAACATAACACATATCCATTCTGCTGGAAACGAATAGTACTGAGTCACTCTGTTGATATTGAACGGTATACCTATCATACAGAATGAAAAGTCCACAACGGCAAGATTCCAAACAATTGTTCTATAAACACTTTTTGTGTACTTTCTCCAATAAATGATTAAGACGACAGCATTTCCAGGTATTCCAATGATTAACATAAGTATAATGAACACTAGAGGTGCTATAAGTTTATCCGACACACGATGGTTGAAATCATCTATTGTCAATTTTCCATCCAGTACAGTGATGTTGCTCATTTTGATGGTAGATTTTGATTCAAAATTAAAATATTATTTGCTAAAAGTGAAAGGATTGACATTTTTGATGTATGCATGCCAAAAGGCAAACGCATATTATAGCGACAACATGTTGATTCCGGTAGACAAGGTCGGAACAAGTTCATTTAGTTAGAAACACTATTATCACAAATTTTAATCATGTATCCGAGTGAAATACAGGAAATTTGTCGTCATTAAATAAGGAAAATGTCTGATTAAGTGCCAACTGTTGGTAAAAAAAGTGTTTTAAATGTTTTTATAATTTCCCTATGAAATCTTAAACTTCTTGTGATATTTGATCCAAAGTATCACCAAACACTTGATAACATCTACAATATTTGTTGTAACACAAATTAAGGCAAGAAGAATAAAAAAAACAAGCATTGAAAAGTGACGGCGCTAATAACAGTAACTGAAAAATGACACCGAGTTCCTTAATAAGGTACAGTATGCATCAATTAAACGAGACAAAGCAATAACATAATAATCTTTAAGATAGAAAGACAAAATCTCCTTTACTTTATATAATTCGCCAATTTCCATTACATTAGCTATAGGTCATGTATTTGCATGTATAATATATTATATATTGTACGAGTTTGAATGCCACGTAGCCCCTTCGTGGTTGTGTAAAATGTATAGATTTGTTTTACATATTGAGTTCACAGACCAAATGAATATAACATATTACATGTAAAATGATCTCAGCTCGCTTTATCTTCTTTTCGAATAAGGTTTCTAGTTTTAATATTTTTTATACAGGGGTAGAACGATACCTTGTCCGTGTCAAAACTGTGTTATCTTTTGACATAGACTTGGAATTTGGTATGTAGAGATTATGTGTTCTGAATCATCATGACTGTCATGTGATCTTGACATTTGATCTTAAATTATTTCTGATTGGGAATATTTTTGCATCACATCAATGTGATTATATTTTTGTCGACGATATCTGGTATTGACTTTCACCTCAAATTCAATTTTTCGAAATTCCTGGGACGTACGTATTCTTGTTTGAAACGAAACTTCTTCACTCTTTGATATTAGTTTTTTAATTTGAACGTTTTATCGTATTGAAATATGTAGCGTTCCACTGTAAATAACTTCTTATCTTCAACTTGACATCAAGACCAAATGATGGATTTGGGGGATATTTTATATGCAACCTAATTATTTTTCGATTGAGGGTTGGTATCTTACCATTGGATGTGTTATCTAAGGACAAAATGTATCGTTACAGATGATATATTACCTTCACCAATGAAGCATACGTTTGGACATTTTTTTATTACCATTGTTGTACTGGATATCTAAACTAGGAATTCCCGTAGAAACAGAAGAAGCTATTTTTAAGCAGAGATTTAATGCATCTACCAAATATATAAGGGGGAATATATCTCTTGTTATTGACACATGCTTATTATTTACATATTATAGTATACATATTAGCGTTATAATAGGTATGAATTCCCATGTTTTATCAAATTCCTGCAGATGGAATCATTCCTCCACAATTTATCTATATATTGATGATAAAATTTAGTAAAACAATTTACAAATTTTAAATTTTTACAGAATTATAAACTGAAATCTTCACTCAATGTTAAGTGCGTACTACATGTACATATACATAATTTTGTGACTGAAAATTGTACATGTATAATACAATGACCACGGTATTTAGAGAATTAGAGGCCTAGGTGGCCGAGTGATCTAAGAAGCGTATCTACAATCATCACCGGCAATGGCAATATGTCAACACTGATGTTGTGAGTTCGAAACTTGTTCGTGCAGAAGCGCTAGACTCCGATCTAAATTTACCATGATGGTTAATTTTCCTGCCAAAAGTCAGGGTTCTCTCCCGATAAACAAGCTTCCTCCGCCAAAACAAACTGTCCGCCACGATTATAACATAGAGCGATAAGAGTGGCGTTAAACATTAACACTAAATCAATCTATTCGTAGAGTATTAATTTAAGTGAACCTCAAACAAGCGTTTTGATGCATAAATCTGAATATGTTATTTTGATAATTTGCGTTTTCGGATTGCGCTCACCATTTATAACTGCATTCAATGGTTTTATTCAAGAGCCTGTAAAGTAAACTTTTCGGTTAAAGTAATATTTTTTTTTTTTTTTATTGAGTTTAGTTTTAATTTACTGAAATCAAAATCAATATTTATACCAACAAAAACAATATTCAAAATCTAATTACAGTGTTGAATTGGTAACCTTTTAGAATACTAGTAAGTTTATTTAAAGGATTGATAAGTTTACCCGTATTGTATCTAAATTTATGGGCATGGTAAACAACATCAACATAAAAATTATAATGTGCTATTTCGTTTGAAAAATATTAAATTTGTTTTGCTTTTGCCATGGCTTGGCTCTTATGCCACATACAGTTTATAGTTAATGTCAAAATATACCATCATGAATAGCTATGCTGTGAAAATGCATCTATGCTCTCAATTCATGATTGGCAGGAATGATTCGTATCCAAAGCTGTTTTGTGTTTAAAATTTGTAAGTAAGCACTCTGCAAGAGTAAGGTAAATAAGTAAGAACTGCCAGCAAAGTGCATTTTTTTTTGTTTGGAAATATTTTGAAGTTAAAGTAATATTATATGTTTGAATGATATACCTATATGACCAAATTTAGATATACAAAATATTGAAGCTTCGAGTTTGCTGTATTCTGTGTTTTGTATTATATTCACGAAAGAATAAAAATGCGACCAAAGAGATAAGATTTGATGAAAAATGTCAATTTTGATTTCCCCACCAGTATCATTCAAAAGAAGGGAAAATGTTAATGAATTCATGATTCAAATTTACTACTGCATGCAATCTAATCACAACACTTACACGATAAATTAAAAACATTATGGCAGTTTGAATGCTAGGCATTTTTAAATTTATTATTGATGAACTTTGTAACATTGTATTATTAATTTTACATATTGGATGACAAATGACAGAGAGACTCCTTGATATATTCAATCCCTTTAATAACTGTTATTATTTGTGATAATCAATTCCAAACTGTTGTATAGTATGACATTTATTGTGGAACGATAATGCATTTCCTCGCGTTATAGGACATTTGTCTGAAAATGATATAACGCAGCACAATGAAACTAGCAAAATGTTAGGAATAATGTGACTTTATACGTCTCTGGAGGAGGAAATATTATTTTTTAGATAACAATCACTGTCAATGTCTATGGTAAGCATCTTAATCATAACAATGGTATACCTAGATAGATCGCCTGACATTCTGTATAAAAAATTGTCGGCTTACAGCAAATCATTTCATATTAATATAAACCACTATACTTTTACACAGAAATATATCATATACAGCCTATGTTTGCAGATCAGTATAACGTAATGATTGCATATACAATATTAACATCAGATGAAATTTGTTCATGGTGTTAAATGTGTCACAAGCAGTTTTAAATTGCAATATCGCATTCTGGATAGTAGAAAGACAATACACTATCGACTATATATGCACATGTGAATTATTGATTTGTATTGTTTAAACCTCGCACGACTAGTACATTTACACCATACGTAATAATAGTGATAACTTCATAAGTATCAGGGTAGCCTCCATTGATCCTAATTAGTAGCAACGTACACAAGGACACAAAGCACTGGGAAATAATATAGGCACTTCAATAAATTAATGAATAACCTGGAAGACACGAGTTTATCTTTGGAAGACTTCTCTTCTTATTCTGAAACTAGAAAAATACACAGAATCAGTATCTAAAAGTTTTTTTTTATATTCAAAGTGATTAATATTGCACTTTTCTTATAATCTGCCAACAATGACAACAGTGCAAGAAAACGACAGAAGATATCAAGATGAAATCAAATTAAAAGTCCAAATCAAATATAGAATAACTAATCTAAGAATTATCAGATGTATTTCACTTGTGAAATTATCGTTTGTATTTAACTGGTAAATCACGGTAACTCATTGCAATCAATGCAATAAAAACAAACTAAAAGTCACAAGACACCAATGTGTAAACATATTAAAAGTCTTAAGACAACATGACGAAAACAAATAAATAGCCACAAGGTATTTAAATGTTAAAAAATGTAAAAAGCCATAATTCACTTACATATAAAGAAATAACAAGGTATAAACAACATAGCAAGATATAAACATAGCAAGGTATAAACAACATAGCAAGGTATAAACAAATTAAAAACCATGACACAGCAGCTTGAAGATGTAGATAAAAAAGCCATAGGACACTGAGGTGTAAACAAATTAAGAGACATAAGACATCATGATGAAAACAAATAAAAAGTCCTGACATTAAAATATTAACAATTAGAAATTACCAGACACTAAGATTTAAGCACATAAAAAGCCACAAGGCACCAGGATGTAAACACATTAAAGTTGTAAGACACTGAGGTGTCAACAAATAAAAAGCCATAAGACACCAATGTGTAAACAAATTAAAAGTTATCCAGGACAAGATTAGAAAACCTTAAGTTAGCAGACTAAAATACCTATGCCCCAAATATAAAGGGGAAAACCATTAAGTGATCTGATGGCATATTGTCTTCTCTGTTTACTTCAAGGTATGTTTCTTTTCTGTTATGATTGAAGAGAACAATATTGTCACAAATCTTTTTTAGTACTATGAACTTGACTTTTAGATTAAGTGACTTCAAAATCAATAAATGTAGATATATTCCTCTTATTAAATGTGACCACACAATAGAATAAGGTTGCAATATTTATATATTTTTCGATTTAGCTTCTGGAAACAACTTTTCTGCACCAATGTTGGTCTAAATTTAGTTACTTTGACATTGACCTTAGGCATACTGAACTCAAAATCGAAAGAAACTTTTCTCTTATTGTATGTTACCATATATCGAATGAAATTTGCAATCCCATATGTGAAATTTAATAAAAAAAAACCTTTTCTTCGCAACTGTCGGTCTATCTTTAACAACTTTGACCTTGTCATGTAAGGTTCTGTATCTGCCTTAACATTAACAAGGATCTTCCTCTCAATATACTTGACTATATATTTAAGCTAGTGTGAAATATTTGGTTTAGCATCAGGAAACCATTTTCTGCACAAATCTCTAAACTTCGACTTTGATGTTTGACGTGGTGACTTCAACGTCACAAGGGATTATCTTCTCATTAGTGACCATATCCCGAGGTAACAATGTAATCCGATATTAAGTATTTGAATTGGCATCTGGAAACGAACATGACTGAATAACGGGCGGGCTTGAAATGGACTATATTACTTAGTTACATCTTTTATATGTATGCTGGATTTTGATTGACTGATAGCCAGCTGTATTTTTTTTTACCACCACCAGGATATACGCAAAAGGATGTGCCTTTTTACCCCCTCTGTCGTTGTTTTTGCCAAAATAATTTTTTATTGTTTTATCCTTCACGGAGACGACTGGCCATTTGTATGTTATAGAAAAATTGGTTGGAACAGAATCGAATGTTTAACTTAATCATTCCTATCAATATTTGATGAAAATCAACAAATATATCCTTGCCTTTACCATCTGTCGACTGATATGTTTCGCAAATACCCTCCCTGAACATGAACTATCTGCCACAAGGCACCAGGATGTAAACACATTAAAGTTGTAAGACACTGAGGTGTCAACAAATAAAAAGCCATAAGACACCAATGTGTAAACAAATTAAAAGTAATCCAGGACAAGATTAGAAAACCTTAAGTTAGCAGACTAAAATACCTACGCCCCAAATATAAAGGGGAAAACCATTAAGTGATCTGATGGCATATTGTTTTCTCTGTTTACTTCAAGGTATGTTTCTTTTCTGTTATGATTGAAGAGAACAATATTGTCACAAATCTTTTTTAGTACTATGAACTTGACTTTTAGATTAAGTGACTTCAAAATCAATAAATGTAGATATATTCCTCTTATTAAATGTGACCACACAATAGAATAAGGTTGCAATATTTATATATTTTTCGATTTAGCTTCTGGAAACAACTTTTCTGCACCAATGTTGGTCTACATTTAGTTACTTTGACATTGACCAGAGGCATATTGAATCAAAATCGAAAGAGACTTTTCTCTTCTTATATATTACCATATATCGAATAAAATTTGCAATCCCATATGTGAAATTTAATAAAAAAAACAACCTTTTCTTCACAAATGTCGGTCTATCTTTAACAACTTTCACCTTGTCATGTAAGGTTCTGTATCTGCCACAACATTAACAAGGATCTTCCTCTCATTATATTTGACTATATATTTAAGCTAGTGTGCAATTCAATATGTAATATTTGGTTTAGCATCTGGAAACCATTTTCTGCACAAATCTCTGAATATTTTTTGTAACTTCGACTTTGATGTTTGACGTGGTGACCTCAACGTCACAAGGGATTATCTTCTCATTAGTGACCATATCCCGAGGTAACAATGTAATCCGATATTAAGTATTTGAATTGGCATCTGGAAACGAACATGACTATCAAATTGACTGAATAACGGGCGGGCTTGAAATGGACTATATTACTTAGTTACATCTTTAATATGTATGCTGGATTTTGATTGACTGATAGCCAGCTGTATTTTTTTTACCACCACCAGGATATACGCAAAAGGATATGCCTTTTTACCCTCTCTGTCGTGGTTTTTGCCAAAATAATTTTTTTATTGTTTTATCCGTCACGGAGACGACTGGCCATTTGTATGTTATAGAAAAATTGGTTGGAACAGAATCGAATGTTTAACTTAATCATTCCTATCAATATTTGATGAAAATCAACAAATATATCCTTGCCTTGACCAGGTTCAGCATACTTGAAACCAGAAAAGAATGGGTTTTATAGATATTTGAAGTAGTGAGTTATGCTATAAATTTGTTTTGTAATAATTTGTCTATGGTACAAAGCTGTTGCGTGATCTAAACATCGGGAATTGTATTTGACAAAATAATTACACCAGACGTTTGTCCTGATTGTGGATGATATATTTGCCACTGGACGTTAAGTGAACAACACTAAATCAATAGTTCCAATTAAATATCGCATTGAAGGATAAATGGAGGTGTGGCAAAAGATGCGTTTATGTTTATAAATCTTATGTTTCAGCAAACGTCTCCTTAAACGTCATATTAATGATAATTTTAATTTTGTTGTTTTCTTACAATGGCGAGCAATAGGGGAGACCATTTATAAATAGAAGGCACTGATTTCTGCCTTATGGATGTGTACGAATTATTGCATTATAAATTTTGAAGGACATTTCCAGTACTTACAGGTTCTCTTCACTTTGGACTTTCTTGTTTAAACTGTTTATTTACTGCAAAATATAAAACAACGTCATTATAATTTTTAATCTATGTAGTATTTATATTTTGCATATTTTAATAGAAGCAGTAAAGTGCATCATTTATTTAAGAACTAAATTTTCAAACGAAATACTTACGATAACAAAATACATGTAAATCTGCATTCTTTTACATTGCAGATATACAACGGTTGACAGTCCATGCACATTTTTGTTCAAATTTTTTTAATGCGTTAACAAAAGTCATATAGCAGTACAAATGCATTGTAACAAAAAATTGGAACCAAAACCACAATAGAATTTAATCAACTAAAAGAGTTCATTGGGTACTTAACCATACTAATATACTTCATCTCACCTTCGTACGATGTCAATTTCATGGTGTAACAATCATCATCCTGTAAGAAACACGTAAACACCATTTATATTACATTTGTTCACAAACGTACTCTAGTGCAACAAAGCCTGCTTTATCACAAGCTGTAACAATTCCAGGTCTCTCATTGACGATTATTTATTAATGACGTTCTAAATGTTTTGAATGTTTAATGAATGTTCTAATTCCTATCGATATTTTAATCAGTATACCTATTAACATGATTAAACGATACAAAATAACTTGCAGAAATAACTGACGCAATATCAACCCTAGAATAAAACATCTAACAATACATACCTTTACTTTTGATTTGATGTTTGTTCTAATCAATCGACCGTGACCAGATGTTATGCTTCTGAAGTTGTTTGTTGATAGTGGGTGTTGACTACCATTTGAAGTATTCAGAATCCGGAGAGATCGTAACTGAAGAAATTAGTCAAAGACAATAAATTGACGCAGGTTTCAGAACAAGTAATTTAAAGCAACATTAAAGGAAATGAAGACGCTCAAAACAATTAAAACATTTAAAAATAAGATTAAATGATTATCGTACAGACCTTAAGACACATGAAATAGCAATCGATAATGTCTTGAAAATGAGTCCTGTCAGACCAAAATATCCTTTATATCTTAAGCAAATTTGAATTAGGCCATTAATTTTATTCCTAACAATCTAAAAGAACCCATTTGCTTACAAATTAGACAATGTCAAAATCATGTACTTTGTTTGAAACTGACAGTATATTAAACGTTCCTGTTTATATAATGGTGTATTTTTTCTACATTTGAGTTGATATTAACACACATATTTGTGGTGTTGCACGAAGAAATGTATCTTTGTTGAAACGTGGAATATAGAATTAACATTATTGAGGAATTAGTTTTACATTTTAGATCATGCATATAGGAGTTAAGAGCCAATGAAATGGTGTTTTGTTTTCAAATATATCCTAAACAATTTATCACATAACACTTCACCGATATAAATCTATGTCCAAGTTCAAACTGCGCTCTCGGGCTTGCTGTTTGAAAATTCTAGATATGAACCAATATTTGTTATGTAATTATCTTATGCTATTATAACAATGCCCCAAAAGGCCAGGTCAGTAGTTATGTGTAATATGAAAGAACATATGTACATGGAGTCACAATAACCGTTATCCAGAACGACTGAAAGAAACTATAAAAAGGGCATAAAGCGTCTATATGCTGCAATGACGAGAAAAAAGCAAAGACAAAACTAAAATGTTGGTACCAATTAGACAGTGTCTTTCTTATGTTATCAACTACGTATTTTATTGATATTTCAATTCTTGAAAACAACTGTGTACAGTAAGAGAATATGGCAGTTGCCTTTTGAACTTCTGTGGAAATATATTTTGTAGTCCAGCTGGTTTTCGCAGAATCCGTCAGTACATATTGTACCAAACAATAAATAAATTTCTGACAGCATTGGTACGGTTGGAAATGTTGGTTATACCGAAATTGGCGAAGGTAAAATTAATTTCAGGGGCAAAGTGCTACTTTACTTGTTCTCATACAGGAAAAGAACAAAATTGATATAGTATAAAAATATTCATAAAATTCATGAAAATGTATGCATTCGCAATACCTAAATGTATTATTACAGTTTATGATATAATGTTAAATCAGTAAAGGGGTTAACTATAATTTTAAGTGTTTTCACTATAGTCCTTAAGCAGTCCAAAACCAATATTATTTCAGTTTTGGAGTTTATGTGATTCACTCAGTTTTTGTTAATTACCTTGATTTGTCTCTTTCTAATCGATTAACTAGATTTGAACATTGATAAACTTATGTAACATAAATGACAAAAAAATAATTGTTTTGAAAAATCATGCTTAAACTCGTTTACTTAAAACAAACAATCAAACAAAGTATGCATATGTCAGGCAGTTTTCGCCTTCCAATATACCAATGAGGGGAAAACAATAACAGTATGTTTCAAATATGTCTCATACAAAAAAACTTTAACAACAAATTACCTGAGAAAATGATATATGCAGTGGTTTGTTCAATATAATCCATGTCACGGTTTCCATACATCCTGGTTGTGTCAACGAACCCTCGTATGTTACAAAATAATCAAGGGGTGGCAAAATAGCGTTCACAGAAAATCCATCTATCGCGATTGATGATCCTGTAGCAATTACAAAGCTAATAATTATTTTGCAAAACATTAAATAATTATTTGATAAATGTTTAATGTTAAAAGAGAGGCGAAGGATATCAAAGGGACATTCATGTTAATGGTATTTCAGAGAAAGAAAAAGAAAATTTTATATCATTCTTACACTCACACCGAATAAAGGTAACAATAGAAGAAGCAACTAACATATTCACTACTAAAATATGACAGTAGTATAACCATGACTAATCTTATATCATTAAAATTTCGTTTAAAAAACGTTGGTTCTGTATATCTAAATGTTTGATGCAAAGACTTATTATTCAGGTAATGTCCAATGTTTTTCCCCCCAGATCCAGACATTTATCAGGCAACAAACCCCGTTTAAGGATATTTTTGTTATCATAGTTTTAATTCTTATTAAAGTCAGTTTTACGTAGGAACATATATCCTTGCAGCAGTTTCCTCAATCAAATCTTGTATGTATTGCTATACTTATGAGGGTGGTTTTGCAGGAGACGTCTACCCGGTCGACGAACCCGATTTCGCTCTTTTTTAGTTCATGCAATTCCTTCAGTTTTTGTTTTAGAACAACAGTTAACTACTTTTGCCTCTAATTCAGATTACCTTAGCTGTATTTGGTAAAACCTTTCGGAATTGGTGGATGTAATGGAAATGCTCTTCAACTTCGTACTTTATTTGGCCTTTTTACTTCTTTTATTCGAGCTTCACTGATGAGTCATTGTAGTAGAAACGCGCGTCTGGCGTACATAATTATACGCTTGGTATATTTGATGATTGTTTTAAAGGTATTTGTCATTCATATGTTAATCTTCACAAATGTATATTATTTTTGATGTTTGTGTTATTCTATTTGATTTACTGACACTACCTTCAAATGAAATATGCTGACCTTTGAAATGAACTTTGTCGAGCGATTGTATCAAAGCATCAAAATTAATGTTGTCCTCTTCGCTGAGCTGTAATTATTTATCAATTTGATATTAAACATTCCCCTAATCTGTTGATGTTCAAGAGGGCAAGTTATCAGAAACAACTGAAAACATCTAATGTGGTATACTGTATTCTAGCGAGTGGTCAGAAACTTAACATCGTATAAATAGAGCATTAAGATCATATTTTATTTTATTTTTTTTTATTCTTTTATTGTAATAATCATTGGTATCCTTGCTTAGACAATAAGTATTCCTGATAGATATAAATGTAGAACACCACCACGTTACATACACACATATATATAGTATTAAATCGCTTAATATTTTGTTAGTTAAGCCTCTTTCAACTGATTTTTATAGTTCGTTCTTATGTTGTACTGTGACACCACTGTCCCAGGTTAGGGGAGGGTTGGGATCCCGCTAACATGTTTAACCCCGCCACATTCTGTATGCATGTGCCTGTCCCAAGTCAGGAGCCTGTAATTCAGTGGTTGTCGTTTGTTTATGTGTTACATATTTGTTTTTCGTTCATTTTTTGTACATAAATTAGGCCGTTAGTTTTCTCGTTTGAATTGTTTTACATTGTCATTTCGGGGCCTTTTATAGCTGACTGTGCGGTATGGGCTTTGCTCATTGTTGAAGGCCGTACGGTGACCTATAGTTGTTAATTTCTGTGTCATTTGGTCTCTTGTGGAGAGTTGTCTCATTGGCAATCATACCACATCTTCTTTTTTATATATTCCTTTTCAAATGAAAGACGAAAATAAAAGCATATATACAAACCAGAGCTAAAATAGAAATAGCAGCGATACCATTTGGCGAGTTTAATGCTTGAGTGCTGTTTTTGTGGATTTCTGCATTATAACCATACAGCTGGATCTAGAAAGAAGAACGAATGAAATCATATAATGTATAATATTGTTTATAATGATTTACATCTATAGAGTATTCGTTTATTTCACGTGAGTATTACATGAAGAAAAATATGGGGAAATTCTTATGTAATATATTATATTCTAATTAACATAATTTTAAGTCATATTTTTGAGTAAAAATATTTGTAAACTAATTCAAAAGTAAGTTGTTGTAAAATACTCATGAAAAAGGAACAGAATAGTTTAAAATTTTTGTGTCTAATTTTTTAAAAAAAAGGGGGAAGGGGATGATAACCAAAAGCAACCTATTCTGTTTGAAAAGACAGGCGAATTCGTTTTCTCGTAATCTTTTTCCCCGAGAAAACTTAATGCTGAATAATTAAGGTAATTTGAAAACCTATTTGATTATAAACCCAACAAATAACAGACTTTGTAAGAATTAAATTATTTTTCCCGTTCAGTTAAACATAGAGAAGGAATCAATACCACTAAAGTCCTTTTTAAAATGAAAATCATACCAAGAATAGGAAATAATTTCCGTTCTAAGAAATCAAACAAAAGTAATAAACGTCTACGACCTTTTCATGAGAAATGAGTTTTCAAATTGATTTTCTGAACAACTCATGCTCAAAAATGGATTTGTATAATTGGTGAGTTGTCATAATATTCTCAGTTAAATCTTCTAAGTTTGTACGAGTAGTGTATTGCAGTTGCTACCATTTAAAGACGATTGCAAAGGTTATTGAGGAAAGGCATACAAATCATAAGTAACTTTGAACAGATATTTCATGTTATGGAGGGGTATTTGCGAAAAATACCCCTCCATAATATGATATATCTGTTTAATTACACCGAATAAATTTGGATTCAATATACCAATAATGATAAAATGTTGAATAAAATGATTCATTGTGTTGTCTATGCTTAAACTACTCAAGTGAAAGCATGCACCGATCTTTTAGTACAGGAATGTTGCAAATTAAATATAACCAAAGAGTACAGTTTACCTCCAAAGGAAACTTTTTACCACCAATACTATGTTCAGATCCTCTGGTGTTATTATCGCCGAAATGTATTTTTATTTCAAATAAAGTATATTCATAAGACAAAGGTCCACCTGTAAAGATGAAAGGCTTCTCATCTGTGTTTTTAACTACAACTTTTAGATCTCTGCCTGTATTCAATAAAATGCCTTTAACCTGAAATACGTAAAAGAAGGACTTAATATCATTTATATTTTAAAGAATTCGTCAAAAGCAGATATTTTTATTTCTGGGGAAATGCTGACAGGGTTCTATATTTTCATTGTCGTCCATTACAAACATTATCTTTGTTATTAATTTGAACACGAACGTTGTGTCCTTTCGTCCGTTTGTATATTTTCTTTTCCCTAAATGTCACCCTGCATGTATCAGCCGATATCATCATCTTTCCCTAAACAATCGCCTGGCTATTTATGATATTCAAAATTCATTTAATAATTTACACTATACATGTTATTCTTTTTCCTTTTTCCTTTTAACCATGGACTTTGATATAGCTATAACCGGATGTTTGGTGTTGGTTTTGGTAGGCATGTTTGATCTGCAGTTATCCGAAATAACCTTCTTGCTTTCATTCAGAGTTTTTACAGAATTTAAATACACGAAAGTATTGTGCAGTGCATATTTAACTTTTTTTGTCAAACTGCTGTTGGGGCATAAGAAATAGATAAGTGGTATGATTGTCAATGAGCAATTTAACCTTCTAAAACCTGTAGACAATGATGAAAAACTAAGATACGGCCCTACGCAATGAGTAAATATAAAAGGCATCATTGTGAAATAATGTGAAGCAATACAAAAAAGCAAAACCGACGATTTGATTTCTGCACAAATAATGAACATAAAGCTAAAAACAGAAACGAAATCCAAAGGGATCTACAAAATATATCCAAAATCCATCTAATGTCACCTTTGCCTGCTGAAGTTTGAACCATAGTTGTTTTAATAATTTCAAAATTATTTTTTTTTAAGAAAGGTAGGTTATAAATTATTTCAGTATATAGCACTGACTACTGATCTGACGATGCTTTGAATTGGGTTTTTTGGGGGATATCATCAAGAACGCTCAAATCCAGAAACTTGGAACCCAAGAATGTAAAAGTATTTGAACACGTGGGGAGCTATATGATAAAAAGGGACATAAAGATAATACCCAAATCCATCTAAATTTAAATTTGTCTGAGGGAGTTTGAACCTTAGTTTCAACGGAGAATGTGTTTTTGAAAGGTATGTAATAAATCATAGTATTATCGAAGCACCAACTACTGAGCTGACAATACCGCTGGGGACTAGCAGTCAACCAGCAACGGTATCGATCCAATGTTAGAAAATAAAAATAACACTATATTTGTGTCCGAAAAGATTTTCCGGATTTACCATGATTAGGGACGCACAAATCTTGATATTTGAAAGTTACCCAAACGACGATATTACCAGGTACATGTACATTCTATCGGTTCGGGACTGGCATATAACAAATATGACCGGGTTAAAATTCAGGTCAATTCAGGGCAGTAGTGTTATAGTACAACAGCAGAAAAAAACACAATAATACTCTGTTAAAAAGGGGCCAAAATCATCAGACACAAAGTATCGACGTATGAGTACTCGCAGGTCCTAAAAGCTAGCACGAAACCAGATTTCAACTTATAAATATACCATATATTCCCCGACTTTAAATATAACTACCTTTCCGATGAATTCAGATTAAAGACGTCATAAGCAGTCATGCAATTCCAATGAATGTATCGATGAGCTACCGTCAAACATAGTTAAAACTAATACCGTGTTTATAGACTAGATACTACAGTTATGTACCTGTTAAATAAAGTGACTGTGAAGATAATTTTGATTTTAAGTTGCTTGTTCTCTCTATCTACAATATTAAAATAAAAAAAGGCAAATGTAGATTTCCCTGGTTCTTTGGAACTGACTTATAGCTTAATCGTGGTGTGAAATAAGTGTAGTCTAAAGCATGGCTGATAAGGTTACCTTATTCTGGCTTACATTCAATCGTTTTAGGTTTGGGTCATGAACCAAGCTTTTTGGGTCGATGTTAATAGGTGACTGGTACTTTCCTTTGCTACAGATAATCCAAGCTTTATTAGCCTTTCCCCAATATTCAGCACCTACAATTTGACAAAATTAAGATAAAACAAATAGTTATATATCTTTTACATTGTAACATCAAATACATTGAAAATTCATTCTGACAATTTCAGCAGTTCAGCTCACCGCCACATGCCAACGTAGCGTTAGACGTGTTGTGATATGCATGGATACTAACACTCAGGTTTTATTCATAGTGTTTGTAGAAAATATTAAATTAGCTTATTAACAAGTATCATTTTGGGAATATTCAGATGCATACCATAGTTTTTTTCTTAACAACTTATGACACAAATTAAAATTTCTTTGAGGTGTAACCTTAAAATACATTATGGACGTATAGACATGCAACATTTGTAATGTTTTCTTTTATTTTTTTTTACATCACTTTTCAAAATGTTGGCTGAGAAAAAACCGCTTTGAACAATGCAACTAATGGAATACGACATTTCTCTTCTCGAGACAAATAGTTAAAAACTTTTCCGGTTTTGCAAGTGTTTTGAATATTTTTAACTTAATTCAAAGTGGGATGAAATTGGCAATACACAAAAGGCAATGGTTAATATGTGTCACCGAACGATTTTAAAAGACGATATATGTAGACAACAATTTGACGTTCTTGTTCTTTTATCTGTATGATGTCAGCAGACATGGTTGTCCTTTTCATTCTGCTTTTTCAATTCAACAAATTCACATATAATCAGAAGGAACAATTTGTCATACAACATTTTCCATCATGTTCCTTATATCTCCGCCAAACGCCTCGCAGTTTTTACAGTACTAATAAAAATACCACGTTTGTACACACCGTTCAATTTCGAGTTTGAAATATTATAGACACCTGTCTATTGTGATAGGCGATATAGGGTTATATCTAAATACGAAGACCTCAAGTTAAAAATACTTGGTACAGACATCATGAGATTTTTTTTTATTTCCGTAAAAAGAAATAAGCTTCACAGCTATATCAATATATTTTATTTTGTTCAAAGTTTTAGACGAATATATCTGAAAAAAACAGTGTCAAAGCCGTAAAATTTAAGACGCTAATCATCTTTAAAAGGTAAAGCTATGGTAGTAATTGATAGCAAGCAGTCAGACTATAATATTACCACTGCCTTATTCACTCACATTGAACAAAGTTGTGTTTTATATAAGATTCCAAAGAAGAGTTATAACATAGAATTATGCTAATTAAGAAAGACCGTTGATTCTAGATTCATATATACTTATGTTAAAACTGTATAAATGTTTTCAGCATTTCTGTAATTTTGGTTTAATATTTAATCATACCAAAAACCTTAATTGTTTTCTTTTTGTTACCCTATTTAGTAATAGTACAAGGCGATTAAGTCAGTAAAGGTCTACTTAACAGAGAATCGTTAAAGGCAAAAAAAAACATATTGTTCTTGTATTGATCTCTTAGACTAATTAATGAAGCGTTCAATCCATGTTTCCATTGTCTATAGACTACTCACTGAATCTAATATAAGAATTACTATGACAGTACTTATATACCTGACACACCACTGTACGTCCACCATTCTGACCATAGTGTTCCATAAACTGAAAAATAGGAAAATAAATGCATATACTACTTAGACATGCATGGTTAATTCCTGTAACCTACAGTAATGTTCTGTTTGTTAATTCCTGTAACCTACAGTAATGTTCTGTTTATTGTATTTCCTTACGGTACTTTAAACTTGTTCTGACTTTGTACCATTTTGATATCGTGAAAGAAAATTTGTTAATCGTTTGAAATATTTATATTCAATTTTCTGTTCATGTTTTATCTCTCAGTTTTCAATTTAAGCAGGTTGTGTGCGTTCTTTCTTACATTATGCACGGGTAATTTACATGAGCCTTTCTTACATAATGCACAGGTAATTTACATGAGCCAGAAATGTAAGAAAGGCTCATGTAAATCACCCGTCCGTGCATTATGTAAGAAAGCCTCATGTAAATCACCCGTGCATTATGTAAGACAGGCTCATGTAAATTGTCTAAAGCAAGGAACCTCGTCAGTAATTGCAGTCTGTCATATAATTTGATATTAAATAACTGGTATTCGTTATTTGGATAATTGGGTTTTAATAACAGATCTTTGATGTTTTCTGTGAAATTCATTCCCAACATGTATAGACTCTAAACGACTAAAGGCGAAATAAAGAAAAGTGCTTCGGATGTACCAAATATATATAGTGTGAACATTTTCTAGCACGGTGTCAACTTTTGCTGGTGGACTGATAGCTATAGGCCCGAGGGCATGATCACCTGAGTAATTTTTAATCAAGAAGTTGTTTGGAAACTAAGGTTCCAACCAGCTCTAGCAAAAGTGATCTTAGAGTTATCAATCTATTCTTTTTCGATTTCGTGTGGTCATTTAAGTCTTCCCTTATTCAAGCCGCAGTACTTTTATACCAATTGACTTTCGTGGCTCGGTACTTATTCATCCCGTCATTGTGTTATTGTGCTATGGCCAATTTTGTATTCTTGTCTTTCAATTTTGCTTATGTACTTTGTCTAAAGAGTGTCTATATGCCATTTTGTTTTTCTTTGTTGAAATAGTTTTATGTTTTTATAGTGATTAAGATTATATTACAATGTTGACTGCTGTACCCCAATTTTCGACATTTTTAACTATTATGTCTGTTTGTTTTGCTCACACATTGTTGTCAATATAATGAAATTCTAAGTGACTGTCATACAAGTGAGAGGTTTAGCTAGCTATAATACCAGGTTTAATCCACCATTTTCTACATAAGGAAATGCCTGTACCAAGTTAGGAATATGACAGTTGTTTTTCATTCATTTGATGTGTTTGGGTTTTTGATTTTGACATTTTATAAAGAACTTTCCGTTTTGAATTTTCCTTGGAGTTCGATATTTTTGTGATTTAACTTTTTATTGTTGGTTAGAGTTTTCCATATGACGGTAAATCCATAAAAACGCTTAGTACGCACCAAAGTTATAAAATTATTATTCTTATTTTATAGCTTCACATATTGTTTATACAGCTGTCTGTTGTTGACGACTGTATGTTGCGCTCTGATTGACTTTTATGAAATTTTATCGTTCGGTTGCTGTCTCATTTATGTATACCACACATCTTTTTATTCATATGACAAATTATTTCATCTCATTTCAAGTTTAATACTCTCACTTTCCATCTTTTCCGAAAATAATGAGTTTTTGGAATTACATTAACAACATATATAGTAAATTGTATGCATCGATGTATAAATACAGATAAGACGAATGAATGTCTCGACAGTTTTATTGTTACAATTTTTCTAATTTCTAATTGTGTTTGTCTTTCTTCATATAATTTGTTTTATGTAGAAGTCGCATTACCAATTTGTTCGAATATTTCCTCTAATATCAGCGTCAGATAGTAATTCTCATTTTATAAACGTAAATGAGAAATATCAACTTTGAAGTTAGAAATTACAAAACGTGATGGACAAATCAGAGTTTGTTAGCGTAACGTCTATGAGAAAATTGTTATATTGATTTGGTCGTGTCGTTTAACGAGGGAACTAGTCTTTGTTTCTGTTCTGTCAGTTGTAATAAGGAGTAGAATTATAGACAAACTCCCAGGAGTCTTAAGAAGGTAACACAATATCTGTCCAGTTAGGTTTAGCTCTGATCATAATAGCAGTACTGTCGCCAAGATGTCAATCCTTTGACACATTCCTGTCAAATTAAGATATATTTTCTTTTTAAAACATTCATTTGTCATTGTTTTTTTATTCTTCTGAAAATTAACATTATTCTATAAAATTGCACAAATGTACGATTTCTAGGACCATAGTTTATAATGATTAAAACGATATTATACGGATATGAAAAACACTGACGTTTTATACTATGTGAGTTAATGTTGTATTTACCATACTTGACGGTAGAACTAGTTAGCGGTAACACACTACGGTATCACTTCATTAAAGAATCACACAACACTAGGTGCTTATTGATAGGAAAGACTAAGAATTTTATTTTTAATATTTTGTTCAACATGCAATATTATATAGTACACTGCATGTAGAAATACCGTTGCAAACCGTTATAGGATTAAAAATTAATACGCAGTGCTTGATGTACTGTGGACCACTCATTCTTACAAATCTCATTAGTGGAAGATATAAAGAAAGAATATGTTTTATCATTTCATGACACAGAATCCCTACACGTAAACGAAAAAGAAAATCATATTATTGCTATTATCAAAATGAAATTTCAATGGAGTTTACAAACATGGTGTAACTAGACTTTTAATATATGTTTCCCACACATCAATTTCACTTGAAAGTAAAAGTTCTATTTAGGAAACATTATCATGTATACACAAAGAGGTGACGAAAAAGAATTACAGTAAAGTTTGTTACAATAAAGATGATTGATTCATTGTTAGCTGATATACGTCCAGTGGCAAATATGTCATGTATGTTTAAAACGAGGTACAATGAAGACCTGATATATCAATTGTTTTGTATGAGCAGATATCAAATAACGAACCATGAATATTTAAAAATCACATAAATCGATGACAGAAGTTATGATAATACGTAGATGTATATGCATCCCATACGACAGTAAAGAGAAGGGTATATTTCCTCAGAGTATATTTCCCATATGTTCGTTCGGCCGTCCGTTAGTCCGTCTCGAATCAGACTAAAATTTTGGTTTAATGATGTTTGCCTACGTTGAAGGTGTGTTCTGAAACTAAAAACACATGTTCATCATGATGTGATACTCAGAGAGACTAGAATGAAAATAAGGTACATGTCCTTGAAATGCCAGACTTCCAAAGCAGGGATTGCAAAATTATAAAGACTATCATGTAATTGAGAGGTTTGGTTAAGTTCAACCTGGTTTTAACCTCCCCTTTTGAAAAGGACAATACTAAGGCAAAATATGGAAACTTGTATCAACATTTAAGACTGTTAGACAATCCAATGTACAAAAAGTAATAAGATACCAAAGTGTAACCATAAAAGCAAAATTCAAGGAAAAAGAAGAACGGACAACACCATAGCCGCAAGAAAAATTGAATGACTACCTATAAAACAACTCCTAGAAAACCAAAGATCGAGCAATCCCACTAAAAACTGTATATGTTATAACATCATTTTTTTAATACATAAAAAGTATAAAACAGTATTGTTAAAATACATTAAATTCGATTGAGCTAAAAGCACTGGCTTCAAAAAAAGTGTAAAACGGTATTGTTAAAATACATTAAATTCGATTAAGCTAAAAGCACTGACTTCATTATATATGTATCGGTATTATAGAATCCAAACATACAGTGTCTAAAACAGTATGATAATGAAAGCACCAAAAGTCAAACAAAGATAACAAGAAGTCGCATCACCATTCTTATTTCATATTTTGATAAATTTCAATCTTCGACATTTGTGTTATGTTAAATTTTGGTAGCCATTTAATCTTTTCCAGTTGTAATTTTAATTTTGAGTCGTGAACAATTGTTTTTGTCATAAGCGCAACTAATGAAGATTGTTCCAGGAACACATGTTGTACACACGAAAGTCTAATATTCCACTTATATCCAATTCTTTTTTTATTCTAGCATGTTTTTAGATTTTAATGTATATATGTATATATATATATATATATATATTGTTTTCAATTTAGACTTGTATATATATATATGTACATTCCAAACTAGAAATATGTAGTTTTTTTTAATCTTAAAATACGTTTGATCCAAACAATTGCTTTGTCCTTGCAGAATGTTTAGTACACTTTACGGAAGTCTGTAAAAGTAGATAGCTTTGACAATAACATTAATAAACCTAAATATCATATGAATAGATTAGAGGATATATAAAGGCATGGTTGATGGATACTAAATTGGAAGTAATGACTTGTTAGATGATTATTGCATGTTTTGTTGAAGTAGCTATTCAATCATGTTTCTTCAGAATGTAATATAGTATAGAATTGCAAAGTATGAATATCGATAGCAGTATTGAATTCGAAAAAAAATATTGTCCTTTTTAAATTCCCTAGATTTATAAATTATTCATCTTTTGACAAAATTTAATAAGCTACACATTTTTAGTATGTTTATGGTCTGAAGATTCCTGAAAAGGATCAATAATTAAAATAGTCATTTGAACACAGCCATTCGCAGGTATTGACTTGACATTAAAGCTTGAAGATTGTCAGTTCCTAAGAGCAGCATCTGTCTTTAGGAAATAATTGCTTAGCGAATATACAGCAAATGAAAATTTAAGCTTTGGTATGAGAACTGGCCATTGATCGTTCCAACAATCAACATACTCCAAAACGAACTGGGAACTACGAGACCTCCCCACTGAGCATTTTGGTCCATGTATAAGGTCTATTAATCTCAAAAATACATTCAATTCTATTAGTTTATTAAAAAAAAAACCTAAATTTAGTCTTAATCCGAACATAAATAACTAAATACAGTAATGAAATAAAATAATGAGTATTGTAAAACCTTGCAGAAAAATCGACAACGATTACGCGTCTAATTTTCTTTCGCTTATTATGGGTACTTTTAAAACGTGAAAGACTTTAAACAGGCCAACCTATCCCTAACCTTCGACAGTTAAAATGTAAAAAAAATAGATGAAAACTATCTTAAAACACTTAAAGTAATCAGGCATATATGTCACGTTTGCATATCGAAAATAGTTTCTTAAAACAAATGAACTAAATAATAGTTCTGCAATGTCATTTCCCGTCAAAGTCTGAAAGAATATTTTGTTAATCCCAAAGCGAAAATATAACAATTACAGGACCCGATGTCCTGTAGCAATCAACTCAATAATGTTCTGTAGAGGATTATATAACTATCATAAAATGTCAATAACTCAGTGATTTGTAACCTTTTAATGAGTTTTCTCAGCATAAAGATGATGATATGCTCATTGACTGTAAAACTGATAATAAAATGTTCAAACAACTTGTTGAGTAAAATCTGTTTAGATTATGTTGTGATTGTTTTATCATAGTTGTCATTCAAATAAACTTAAAGGGTAACTGCAGCTAGGATCACAGTAAAACAAGTTTATTGTATTAATAGTGTACACAGAAAAAAAATGATAAGAGCCGTTATTAGGCCCTGAAATTGTAATAAGTGTCAAATTCTTCAAGCTTTTCAAAATGTAGTACTTTTATTGGTAAAAGAAAACTACTTGATCGCTGAAATGGCACTATGATATTATAACCAGCGGAACCATACATATTGGAACGACAATGACAATTATAGCCAAGGCCTTTACTAAAAAGACATTTTACCCGCTTTAAACATACTTTGATAACACATTTTGTAGCAAAGTATCTTTTTGGACAAAATCTTGGCTCATATTGAAGTAGTTGTAACAAGATCTAAAACGTTAGGATTTAATTAAGTTCTTGTTCTTTACATTAAATGAAAAAAGTCTAAAGCCCCTAAAAGAAATTTGTAATGGACATTAGATATTATAGAATATTGACATTTGACAGACTCATGTCTCATGAACATATGAATGATGTAGTGTGGTAACTTTTTAATACTTTTTTTTATCTAAATTCTAGGGATCATTACATCAAGAATCAAATAACAGCTGTTTTAATGTTTCCCATTGGCAATAAAGACGTTTAGCTGTGAATAAAATGTGGAATGTAAACGTCAATGAGATAACAACCAACCACAAAAAAAATCTCCCAAAATACCACGCCTCTGAGTGCCACATATATTCTTCAATAACAGACCATTGTAATCTCCCAAAATACCGCGCCTCTGAGTGTAGCATAGATTCTTCATAAACAGACCAATGATGGTGGCATATGTTAAGGTCTACATTTCCAACGAGCAACCGCAAATCAGACTTCAACATCAAATTCCCCCCAAAAAACACCAAGCACAAAACGATTTCCTGACTTTATGCAATCGTTAATAAACAAAGAAGAGTATTATCAAAAGGTCCGATCTCTAAGGTAAGTTCACAAAGTAATAAATCCATAAAACCTGACAAAATCAAACGTTACAATATATACCACCCAATGGAACAAATTGAAATGACGTAGCTAGAAAAACACATTTTCATTTCATTTATTCTATATCAGTAGAATAATAAACACAAAATAGACGAATACCACAAAGGGAAAAAGTACTCCATAATGCATGTTTTGGTATAAATGACAACAAACACAGGAAAAAGAAATATTAGGGATACCGTATCAAAGAATTTCCATAGTTATTGAGAGCAAGGTTACTTACTTAATCTGAAGATTTAGAAATGATACCCTCTAAACTTCAAGACTTGTGGATATATATAGTGTTTATCATATCAAATGGACACCTAATTATCGTTGAAGACCTCATGTTGACCGATCAGGTTTTTCTTTCTTTGAGTCCGTGGGTTGCTGTCGTATTGACGTATATCCCAAATCTCCTTTTTAATCACTATAGGTATTTTAATGTTAATATCATTTTTAAGTTGTACATATCATTTCAATGAAAATTGCATGTTCAAAAATGAAACTAGCAACTACACCTGGCAAAGAAATTGAACAAATACATTATAAATTTCAGAACAACCTAGCTGTAAAAATATAGAAATTTGCAGAACACTAGGCACATCCATATATATGTTAGATTGATTGATTGATTGATTGTTGGTTGCTTAACGTCCAGTGGCAAATATTTCATGCATGTTCAGGACGAGAACAAATTAACAATAAACACAATAGGTAGTTTATGTAATAGGGGCGTCCGGGATCAAGGTCGGAGAAATTTAGACTGCCACGGGAAGTGAGGGTATATTGGATAGGGACAGAAATTTAGCCTAGCAACAGGTCACCTACGGACCCCTCAAAGAGTTGTTGCAAGGGTTCTTAACGTGCAAATATATATGTTAGATAATTTGGCAGAATATCCCTTATGATTAGGGCAAATATATCAGGTAGACTGCATAACAATTTCAATATACAAACTGACCGAAAGCCAGAAAAATGAAGTATAAGAGAAGTTGACAAAATTAAATAAAAACGGCATAACTGTAAATATATAAGATCATACATCAAAGTCTGTGCAGTTGTAGATTACAAATTTCTAGGAATCAAAAATAATATTTATAATAAAACATAGGAACAAGCAACATAACACGTAGATAGAAGAGGATAAATACACTGAAGTTTTGTCAAATTTTTACTAACTTGAGACATATTTAAGCTAACATAAACAAATTGTCCTACCTGAGTCTAATTGGCTATCTATAATTAATGAAAGAACAGCTATTTCCAATAATCGCCATGAATCCATTTTAAAAATATACTTATGCAATTAATTATAACGTAGAAAAATATGTAGATTGAACATTCACACTGTATAGTGAATATTAGATTAATTCATATATTAATTTAGTTAATTTGTTAACACTGCTATTTTACCAGCTGGAATCCTAGTGTAAAACCATTAATCTGTTTCTGTAGATTTATATCGTTTAGTTAATCAATAGTTCCTTATATGGAAAGTTTTGTGTGGTTAAATATTCCAATCCCAAACTCGTACAGTTGGGAGGGATTATTGATAATAAAACACTCATCAAACTTTGAATTGTTCGTGTAAAAAGCATAGAAGTAGATATTTAAACATTTTTTCTAGAAGGAATAGTTAATATGCACAGGAAATGCTCGGAGATACGATAAAATGCATTAGCTTATTGAAAAAAGTGCTCTCTAGTATAACATGATATCAAATTTCAGAATAGTATTATTCCATAACATCTTATTAGGAAAACATATAATATCAACAATATTGTTACACGTACCTAGTTTGGAATTAAAAAATGGCGAATATGTCTCTTAAAGTTGATTAGTATGTTTACTACTATGGATCTTATAACTTGACCTTATGCAGAGGACACTAAACACCAATTGCATTTTATCTACATTAATAAAACATTCAGATAAAAATATAAGTTAGAGGCTACAGTAGTTAATCACTGTTCAAATCTCATAAATACATTAAGAAGATACAAATCAAGGTAAAAAACATAAACCGATGGAATTAAATGAACTCCAAAATGCGAGACCGGGTGCGTCGATCTATACTGTCTAATTCATTCCTATTTATTTATGGAAAATAAAATCTCACTAGTCTAAGACATGACAATCGTCTACTACAGTCTACAAAACTAATGACTGAACATCACAAACCTCACAAAAAACCCGGGTTGTTTTGGAAGACTAGGCAGAGTAAGCAGATCCTGTTACACATGTGGTACTTGGCGTTTTGCTCATAGCAAGTAAAACATCGGTGATGACTATACTGATGGAATCATCCAAATACTCGTTCCTGTCTAAACCTAGATTTATAAATTTCGTAGGGAATTTGTTTAAACATGACATTTGATGATTTTTTTTTTTGTATGTTGATGTTTCATTTAAAAATAAGGAGACAAATATTAGTGCGTTACTGATGAGTCTTTTGTAGACGAAACACGCGTGTGGCGTATGAAATTTAAATCCTGATAACTATAACGAGTTTATCTACAGAACAAACTACAAATATGTAAACTATTACAGGTCATTAGTTTCATTTTCTCTGTCTTGTGTAATTCGCTTTCAACTTGTCATGATCTTAAACATATAATATTAAATAAGTAAGAAATGATCTAACCAATAATTTAGAAATAGAAAAAAAAAACAACATCTAGATCACTCTTAAAGCAAATATTGCATATAAAGGAGCTGACTTTTGAAAAATAAAAAATAGATTTTAAGGGGGAAATCAAAAGTTTAACAAAAAACAAAGTCTAACATCAACAAAACAATACAAAGAATACTAATGATTGCGTTTTTATATCCCTTCAGATACTGTTGGAAATATTCTTCAAAGGAACCAGGGTTATAATGAAAAATGTCTGACGCATGTTTCATGTACACAAGATTCATCACTTTCTCCCGAACCAAAACAGTTAAACATCCAAATCAATAACGACGTTGAAGAGCACTGAAACAAAAACTCCCTCAAAATATGCCAGATTTGCCTCGGCCATCTATGCCTGATGATAGAAAAAGGAATTTGATATGTTATGAACAGAAAATGACCTCATCAATGATATTTCATGTCAGCAAAGCCTGGTGATACCCTCAATGATGAAACATCCACAAGCAGCGGCTATACCCATTGCAGTGGTAGTAAAAACTAACATAGGTCAGTTCGAAATTTCCCTGTATATAAAACGCTTTGCCTTCGTAAAAAGAAAATTTCCGTAAAATGAATGTATGTACATACTTTTAAGAATAACAGTAATTACCCCTAAAATTGGACAAACCAAACCTTTAAACGTCGCGTTAGAAACAAATTAGTCATAGTTCATTTAAAAATTAGTTTCCTAGTGTACGTGCTTTCGAAATCCTCTCTTTTGCTTAACTATAGAATAGTCGTTATAGTAAAACACACAATAAAAACCCTGCACAGTAGAGCTACCTAACAGGATAAACTCTAACTTCATCTAGGAAATATAATTTTGAAAGGAGTGTAAAATGTGCTCGCTAATACGGGAAGGTAGATAGCAGTACCCGTTGGTTTACAACAAAAATCAGAAATAGCATAGGACTTAGTTAAAATTGACAGTATTTTGTGATAAGCCTCTAAGTATGTATGGTCGTCAGATCAACGGATAGAGGAACCAGTTTAACTGAATAGTAAGTATATTTAAAAAAAACATTTAATACGAAAATGACAGTTGTTTTCCATTAGTTCAGCTAGTTGATATAGTCTTACGTTGGATTTTGTCAGATTTTATGGATTCCACCTATTTGAATTTACCTTGGAGTTGGTTATTTTTGTTAATACTTTTTGGTACACGTAGTTTAGTTCGAAATTATTTTGTTGTTTTAACGGACAAACGGATCAGATGATCTTCTCGAATACATATATAAATGTAAACTTGCCATGAATGAACATTTGAAGATATAAACATAACTTAGAAGGAAATTTGAAAAATCGAATCAATAAAATTCTATCCAGTAATGAATACAGTCATATAGCTGATCTAAATTAATATGAATTTCCCGTTGTACTGTTTCTTTTTCTGAAATACTCCTAACGTACATGAACTGTGAATACTAGTATACCTTAATATGTTTAAATTATATTGTACAATACATTTTCATATTAAAGCAACATTTCGTTTTTTGTTCTACATTATTTCAATCTTTATTTTATCTTACATAAAGAAAATTGTAAAATCCTTCATTTGTTTCTTTTATTCTATCAAATGATGCATCATCTTTTAAATTCATATGTTTTTACTATTTTATTATAAACCAGAATTTAGTCTTCTGCTTTACATAGAGTAGACATTAGAATTGCAAACTTGTACAGTCGTAGAGATACTTTTTTTTGGGTATTACTGCTGTATCCCTATTTTTGACATTTTTACCTATTATGTCTGTTTGTTTTGTTCACACATTGTTGTCAATATAATGGAATTTGATGCGACTGTCATACAACTGAGAGGTTTAGCTAGCTATAAAACTAGGTTTAATCCGTCATTTTCTACATAAGGAAATGCCTGTACCAAGTCAGGTATATGACAGTTGTTTTCCATTCGTTTGAAGTGTTTGAGCTTTTGATTTTGCTAATTGAAAAGGGGCTTCCCGGTTTGAATCTTCCTTGGATGTCGGTATTTTTGTTATTTTACTTTGTACATTGTTTTAACGATCTGAATTGTATTTTGTGTGTTCTTATTGTAGTTTTTTTTCTAATTTCTAATTGGTCAAACTCAAATTTGTTTTACCTTCCAATTATATCGGTGTATCTTTATTTGGTTTTCCATTATTAATGCATCAGCTGTACATATTTAAAACTATGTTAAACTTGTGTCAAAAACAAACAAAAAATAAATATATAAGAATAAAATAATGACTCATTAAAAAACATTCTGAAAACATATCGCTTTTCCCAAAAGAACACAGATAATATATCAAGATTGTAAAACAATACTTATAATTATTTATTGTTTTTTTTTCTTTGCACTTAAATCTAAATCAGTTGTCATCGAACAAAACATGAAAGAAAATAAGCTAAGCGTTATAATCAATATTATAGTGTGAAAGGCACAATTCCATGCTATATCAACGGAATAAAGTATTACGAGATCGCTTTCAGTAACTGCGGGCATATTTTGTTATCACGCATATATTTGTTCTATAGCTGAATATGTTTTGCCAATACAAGACCAATAGTTGTGCAAAGTGTCCTATCCATAATGGAGTGTTATGAACCTATCGCAAAAATAGAAATAAACTGAAAAGGGCAACTATGAAAGATTGCGTGTCAGTACAAAGTCAGCTACCTTACTAGAGGCTGTCTTTTACTTATTATTATTGTATAACAAATGCATGTCTATTTCATATTTCCTGTTGTCTGAATTTTTCCTGTTGTCTTTTGACTTTTTAAAGACTTATCAGCTTATCAAGGACGGAAACAAATAAGATAATACATGAAATAAGTTCTGTATACATTTTCACTCTCTCTCACTCCCCTATTAACTCATTCGAAACGTCTAACACTTGATCATTATTTGAAAATTCCCTCAAGAAATTTAAAACTCTAGAGACGAAAATCCGACCTGGTTTGACACAACTAGAGACACAATTTAGTTTCCCTAACAACGACTGCACTTCTTTCTTTCTGGCCTTTTCTTTATTCAACCACATTACAACCAACTCTGAAATTTCAATTAAACGACCTGGAGTAACTTCTTAAGTCATTTTCTCTGTATCAAACAACACACCAATAAATGACATTATTAAACAAGGCTCACAAGTCTTTCACATGAATTTCACCTCAAACGAGCTTATACGTGAAAATTACGTAAAATCAGTTCATGTGAGTTTCACGTGAATCTCATGTGAAACTCACGTGAATTTAACATGCAAATCACATGAATTTTTAAAATAAAGTTATTCAAATAACATTTAAATTTTCAAATTTGATCACAATCATAAATAAGACCAATTTGTTTTTTTTAAATGTTCACGTGAAATTCATGTGAAAAATTTCATGTAAGATTCATGTGAATCTCAATTCACATGAAATTCACATGAAAATTTTTACGTGAGTTTCATGTATACGCTCGTTTGAGATGAATCTGAGATTCATGTGAAACTCACGTGAGCAAATTTTACCTGTGTAGTGGTATATGTCAGTTGAAGGGAGAGACGGTAGAGTTTAACTGGATAAAGGGTGCGTTTTGGATAGGGATACATCTTATAACTAACTAACTAACTAACTAACTAACTAAATTA